TGCATTGATTATGTTCAGGATCTCACAACCCAAACATTTCACCTCCTTCCTGCATTGTCTCACACATGAGCTTTTAGGGGACACCTCATATCTAAGCCACAACAATAATGAAAGCTGAGGAATGCACTGAATTTTCACTAATGCGGAGCTCAAACAAGAATCACACTGTTTTGGTTTTTTTCCATTTCCTCTTAAAGGTCACAACACTATAATGAAAAATGTGAACATCAACTAAGTATTGAAAACAAATACCTATTTTGGCAATGCAGTGCCTTCAAACTATTTTAGACTATGATTCTTACAATACTCGAGTTTCAAGTTAAATGTTAAAAATTGTCTGTGCCTATCTATTGATTTCTCAGGAAAATACCCTTCAAACTGGTTTTGCTACTAGGACCAGATTGTAAACAATAATTTTATTATCTTTAGTTTTCCGTTTATTTGGCAAATATGATAGACAAAAATTTAAGCAAATTGTTTTCTAAAGACTGAGATGTAGCCAGGCATGGTGGTGAACACCTGTAATGCCAGCTACTCAGAAGGCTGAGACAGGAGGATTGCAAGTTTAAAGCGAGCCTCAGCAACTCAGTGAGACCCTAAGCAGCTTAGTGACACTTTGTCTGAAAATAAAACAAAAAAAGAACTGGAGATGTGGCTCAGTGGTTAAGCACCCCTAGGTTCAATCCCCAATACCAAAAAAAAAAAAAAAAAAGACTGCGACGTTACATGTGTCTTGTATATTGTAAAGAATTGGTTGGCGTGAATTCATTCTTAAATATTCACTTTCCATTTGTAAGCAGGCATCTAAATTCAAACTAAAATTTTACTTTCATGTAGACAATGCACACTTCCTCACCAACAGGGTCCATTAACCTTGGGCTCTGAATAAACATTATCTGTTTCAGATAATGGAAACTTGGACAAACAAAAGAACCAAGATGGTTTATTATGGTCCTCAGGAGTATTCAAAAAACATCTTTTTTAAACAATTTTTTTAAAGTGTTCAGGTTTATTGTGAAGATTGTTTATGTAAAGCTGATATTTTTATTAATTTCCAGTGTGCTTTAATTTATCTGTTGTTTCTACTTGTCCACAGAAGATACACAGATTTTCATCATAATTATAACAAATTATTTAAACCACATGTTAGGTGATGCATTTCCCTTTTCTCGTGAAAGAAAAACAAAGTTGAATCAAAACCCAATTCTATGTCTGAAGGAAGTTCAACATCCTCCTCAAAAGTCATGAACTCCCCCAGGTGCATAGAGGTTTCCTGTTCATTGAGAAGGTTGATTTTATGTGTGAGCTTGACTGGACCATGGGTGCCCATTGATTTGGTTAAGCACTATTGAGTGTGTCAAATATTCTCTTGGATGTGTGGGTGCTAACACACAACAAGGGAGGGAGGGGGGAAAGGAAGTTCAGTGATTTAGACAAAGGGGAATGAAGGGAAGGGAGTGGGGATAGGAATAGGAATGACAGTGGAATGAATGTGATTTAACTTCCTTATGTTCTCATATGAATACACAACCAGGGAAACTCCACATCATGTACATGCACATGTATAGTTAGGATAAGTTATACCCCATGTATGTATGATATGTCAAAATACACTCCACTGTCATGTGTATCTAAAAAGAACAACAAAAAAAAAGAGATATTGTGTAGCTTTACAACAGAAGGGTTTAGGGTTTCTGTCATTAATCATGTATCATTTAAATGTTTCCTAAATCAGATGGATGCTTGGTTACCCATTTTAAGAATATTGATAATTTGATTCTTCAGTTATGCACTACATAATATAATCAAGATGATGCAAAATGTATTCAAGGTAAATAACCAACAGCTGTGCACTATTTTCCTTTAACATATTATTCTGGCAGTGCTGTCTGGTCAGAAACATGGCTAATATATGGTTAATAATAATCGGTTACATCTGGAAAAGAGCAAACTCAAACACATTTTTAAGAGTGTGTCTGTGAGGGTGTTGGGTTTTATTAAGTGCTCACAGAAGATTCCAGATCATTTATGTAGTATTTGAGCTGGGGATATGATTCCCTGAGCCGACTTTCTTCTTTCTCTGAGTCTTTGAGCTGAGTCTTCTCCTGACTATGAACTCAAACTGGAACTGAAACTTATATCACCAGCCATCCTGCTTCTCAGACCCTCAGACTTAGACTAGAACTGTATCATTGGTAATCCTGGGTCTCCTCTTACCAACTTTCTATCTCAGAATTCAGTCTCCATAATTTCTTAAAATAAATCTACCTGTTTATCTATCTATCTTCTATCTGTCTCTCTGTATCTAACCTGTTGGTTTATTTATTTGGAGGTACATGACCAATACAGATTAGTACTGAGATTACTGCAGATTTGGTAATATGAGTGGTTCTAGATTAGTACTGAGATTACTGCAGATTTGGTAATATGAGTGGTTCTACATTAGTACTGAGATTACTGCAGATTTGGTAATATGAGTGGTTCTAGAGGAACCAATTTTTTAAAGATTTTCTGAATTCATTCTGAGGTCTCTGGAATGATTCTCTAATCTCATTAGAATTAAGTATTCTATTGGTCCTATTTGTAGTGGTGAAGAGAGCACTAATAGTCCACAGCATGATCTGGGAATAAAATATGCAAAATATCACTGTTGGATAATCCGAATCAACTGATGAAAGAAGCAATGATGGGATAATACTTCCAAATGTATTTGGGAAACTAGTGAATACAATGAGATTGGCTGGTTCTTCTTAATGTCACTGGACAAGTTAGAGAAAGAAGAAAGTGAGCTCAGGGAATCATATTCCCAGCTCAAATGCTACATAAATGATCTGGAAGCTTCTGTGTTCACTAAAGGAGACCCTTATCTCCTATAGCTTCAGGTCTGAGATTACTGAAAATAAAACCCAGAATCTCACCCTGTGGATGACTGAATTTCAATATAAGATGAAGCCCTAGCCTTATAAGATATTTACTGGTACAGTGAGGACATTGATTGGGAAGGAAGGGAATTCTGAATGTTGGAATGAAGACACGAAATGTAGGAAGGTCCTGGTGAAGTTGGAGACATTGAGCCCCTAAATTCTGACGAGTTTTCTTTTCTGGTAGAAGAGGCCTCCCTACCCCAAGTGGGAGCAGCCACTCTGCTTCCAGATAAGGGTATTGCCTGGGGAAATTCAAATAATCTCCCCTAGAAATTTACCGTCAAGATAATGCTGAATCTCCTCAGGATCCACTCTCTCCAGCCACCCTTTGCTTCTAGAATTATAACTACATTGAAGCCCCAGGAGGCCCCTAATAAAGGCAAGTTAAAAAGTGTGACCTAAGAGAGAGTGAACTATACTCCACAAGAAGTACCTGAATTTTCTGAGTTGGACAGTCAGAAATCTGCAGGACATGTTTAGGAATGGATATTAAGGTTATGGGATAATGGTAGAAAAAAAACATAAATTTGGATTAGGCTGAATTTATTGATAGCAATTCACTAAATAGAGATTCTACATTTAATGATGGAGCTTGGGAGTCAAAAAGGCTTCTAACAGCTTATTCATTCAGTTGACTGAAACATGGCCCAAAAGGTAGCCCACAATGAACAAGATGGAAATGTCAGATCTGCTTTCTTTTAATGTAGAAGAAAGAATTCAGTGTTTTGGAGGTTGGAGCGTAAGAATGAGTTTGTCATGTAAGACCTAATCACCCATACAGGGAGAGTACAGAAAACATGTCTTTTACCACTACTTTGGGAAATATATTTGTGGTGGGGGGTTCTGTGATTATTCTCCTTTGTAAGCCAGCCCTTACAGTGGAGATTGCAGGGATTGTATTGGGAAACCTAAGCAAGGGAAGTAACTGGATCCCAGGATGTCAGAAGCCAAGTGGCAGCCCCAATGTCAAAGTGCACGTGGTTTCTGTCGTGGAGACAGAGTCAACAAAGCAATCAGAACAGTCTGACCCATGGAGACCTGTGGTGCTGGCGAGTTGATTATGATGTTCCCAGAAGTGAAACACACAGGAAGCTTCCTAAACTCTTGTTTTATCTGCATAAGCAAAACTCAAGTGAATAAAAGTTTCAACTGAATCAGTCACAGCTCCTCAATCAATGTTCATATTTGAGCCAGTTTATAGACCCAGAACCCCTCGAATAAAGGGAAGACTAGGTCTCCTTGAGGAGGACCACAGAATAGTAAAAAAAAAAAGTACTGTTAAACTTTCTCACAGCTTCTCCAAAGGTAGGTACCTTTAATCAGGGTAATTATGCACTAGGGAAAAAGAACTAATCATGTGGTGAAGCCCCTGGCCCTAAACAGGGAAAAGAATAAGTTCCCTGTCCCTTGTTTCGCATGTAAAGGCGAGAAAACCACCGAAGTCTGAATTAGCCTTGTGGGCTTCCACCGAAGTCTGAATCAGCCTTGTGGGCTTCCTGTCTATCTGCCCTCATAGAGCACTTGGGACAGATTGTACCTACTGATTAGCTGGCACAGCTGAGCCTTACATGAGCACCCTGCAAAACCAGACCTAGTTTACTTAAAGCTGCCTGAAACCGCTTCCTGCAGTAAAGAATGTGTGTATGTGTGTGTATGCTTAACCCAGAGTATGGGAGGATATATAAAAGGGGGGGAAAAATAAAATCTCTCTCTCCTGGATGAAGAACCTTGGTGTCCTGTGTCTTTTAACCTCGCCGTCCCTCGCCGGACTCGGCTCCTTTGGCTGGACGCGGCAATTGGAGGTCCCACCGAGATCCGGAAAGCAGGGGTAAGCGGACGGGGCTCACCTTCTAAGAGAGAAGGGGGAGGATTGGTTTACAGATAATTTAAAGGAAAAAGGGTACATACCATGGGAAACTCAACAACGAAAGTTCATCTGGCCAACGAACTGAGTTATTGAATACACAAGGAACAAGAATAAAAACTAAAACTGCAACAGAATTCGTTGAAGTTATTGCCCAGGCTTGTCCTTGGTTTCTGACAGGAGGATTTCTTAATAATAATGACTGGGACCTAATGAGACATGACCTTCAGAAATTGCTGAGGGACCGGGGCACAAATAGTGTCCCTATTGCCACCTTTTCCTTATGGAGATTAGTAAAGGATGCTTTATTGACAGACAAAATAAAAATCAAAGAACAACTTGCTAAATGTGAACAGGCCCTAAATCAGGTACAGGAGGAACAAATGGCCGAGTCCTTAAAGGATGAGGGTCCTCTTGAGGACTCGGGCTCGGGGAATAAGAAACGCCTCCAGATTTCTAAGCCTGAAAAGGATCCTGAGGACCTCAGTTCTCTCTCTGAGGAAGAGGAGGGATTAGAAAGGGAGATAGAGAAATTAGAACATCGCCTTAAAAGGGCAAATGTCAAAGTGCCTAGCGCCCCCTCAGTTGCCGCGCCTCCTCCCTATAATCCTGACTGGGATGAGGACGCCCCTAATAGACGGGCGGGAGTCTATTGGGGTTCTAGAGCAGCTCAGGTTTTCCCAATGATCGAAAACGCTAATGCTAATGGACAGCCGGCCAAAGCTCATGTCCCCCTAGCCTTTAAGGACATAAAACAGCTTAAGGAGGCGGTCATTAATTATGGACCTCATGCCCCTTTCACATTGACCCTCTTCGAGTCCTTCTCCGCCAATCAACTAATACCTAGTGATTGGCAGCAACTTTGCAGCGCTATGTTATCTGGAGGAGATTTCTTATTGTGGAAAAGTGAATATCATGAAAGGTGCCACGAACTGGCTCAGATTAATCTGAATGCGGGCCATCAACGGCGAAATGCCGAAATGTTAACAGGAAGTGGACAATATGCCACCATAGGGCAACAAATTAATTACGATCCAGGTGTTTATGCTCAAATAGCCTCAGCTGCAGTCCATGCCTGGAAAGCCCTGCCCATTTCTAAGACTGAAACAAAAATTTCCAAGATCTCTCAAGGGCCCTCTGAACCTTATTCGGACTTTATAGCCCACCTAATGCAGGCTGCTGGGAAAATATTCCCTAATCTGGAACAGGCTATGCCACTTATCAGACAACTGGCATATGAAAATGCTAACACTTATTGCCAAAATGCCATCAAATCCTCCCGAGCCAAAAGTACAGATGACATGATTCGAGCATGCAAAAATATAGATGGGCCACACATTACTGGTCAGGTTTTGGCTGCTGCCCTTAAGACTGGGCTACAAAAATCTGATAACAGGGGAACCCACTCTAAGGGGTGTTTTGAATGTGGAAAAGAGGGACATATAAGGAGAAACTGCCCAGAAAGGAACAAGGGTGCTAGCAGAGGGATGCCTGGAATTTGTCCTAGATGTCATAAAGGAAATCATTGGAGCAACGAGTGCAGGTCAAAATTTGACATCCAGGGTAACCCAATACCGTCGGGAAACGGGAGCAAAGGCCCGCCCCGGGCCCCGGAAGCCAAAGTGTACGGGGCAGTGCAAAGACAGAACAGTGCCCCGGGGAGTGGGCATCTCCGCCGCTTCCCACTGACCAACCCCTTTCTATCTGGGAACTCCCCAGGGGAACACCAGGAAGTGCAGGACTGGACCTCAGTTCCACCTCCCGAGCGGTATTAACTCCCCAAATGGGACCTCAGACGCTGCCTACTGGGGTTTTTGGACCCCTTCCAGAGGGGACGGTGGAACTAGTGTTGGGACGAGGTAACACAACTCAGTGGGGCTTAAAGATTCTTACGGGGGTTGTTGATGCTGATTATCAGGAAGAAATAAAAATAGTAGTAGAAGCTACCCAAGGAATTGTCATTCTCCCCCCCGGGGAGCATATAGCTCAATTGCTGCTGCTACCCTTAGCTTCCATTCCTGGACACGCCCTTTATGGGTCCCAGGGCGAAGGCAGCTTTGGCTTTACTGGAACTTTACTGGAACCCGGGCCTTCTGGGTAACTCATTTGGATTCACGTCCCAACCTGACCATTGAGATACAAGACAAGGCTTTCAAGGGAATACTAGATACGGGGGCAAATGTCTCTGTCATTTCTGAAAAACAATGGCCATCTGCCTGGCCCCTCCAGAGTCCCTCAGCTGTACTACAGGGAATAGGACAGACCCGACCAAAAAGAAGTGCTTCCTTTTTAAAATGGAGAGATAACAAAAGACATAGTGGCCATTTCCAGCCCTATGTAATGACTGGACTCCCCACAAACCTTTGGGGGAGGGACTTGCTTCATCAAATGGGGGCTATTCTCACTACCCAGACTTTAAAAGGAAATAATGACTTTATTAATGACACAATGCTAGACATGGGATGGATCCCTGGAAGGGGACTAAAAAAGAGACTTAAGGGCAGAATATCACCTGTGGATCCAGCAGAACAGGTTACCCGGCGGGGAGGAGACCAAAAAGGACTGGAAAATTTATCCTAGGGGCCACTGAAATGCGGCCACCTCCACTGTCCATTACTTGGTTATCAGATGACCCTATGTGAGTAGAACAGTGGCCCCTAACTAAGGACAAATTGCAGGCCGCTTCCCTATTAGTTCAAGACCAGCTTAAGTTGGGACATGTGGTGCCCTCTACCTCCCCTTGGAATACCCCTATTTTTGTTATACAAAAGGGGTCTAAAAAGTGGAGACTTCTTCAGGACCTACGGGCCATTAATAAAACTATGCAACCCATGGGACCCTTACAACCAGGGCTACCTTTTCCTACTGCGATCCCAAAAAATTGGCATCTTATTGTTATAGACTTAAAAGACTATTTCTTCTCTATCCCCTTGGACCCACGAGACCAAAAGCGTTTCGCTTTTTCCTTGCCTTCCACAAACTTTAGGGAACCTTACCAACGATATGAATGGACCGTTTTACCTCAAGGGATGGCTAATAGTCCTACAATGTGCCAATATTTTGTAGCTGAGGTTTTACGGCCCTTTCGACAGCAGTTCCCACAACTCTACCTCATTCATTATATGGATGACATCTTACTGGCAGGGCCCAAGGAAGAAAGGCTTCTTCAATCTTATGAAGTCCTCCAATCCCTTCTAAAAGGGGCAGGGCTAGTCATAGCACCTGAAAAGGTGCAATTTCAACACCCTTACAATTATTTGGGATACATCATTAATAACATAGGAATCTTTCCCCAGAGACCCCAATTCCAGATAAATCAGCTCAAAACTTTACATCAGTGGCAAACATTCCTCGGAGAAATACAGTGGCTACGCCCGTCTTTTCACATTCCAACTGGAGAGCTCAAACCCCTGTATGACCTCTTGAGAGGAGATCCTTCTCCTACGTCATGTAGAGTACCCACACCAGAAGCCTTAAGAGCACTAAAGCTAATAGAAGAGGCTCTGCAGGACATGCAGATTACACAAATAGATTATTCTCTGCCCTTGTCATTTATAGTTCTACCTTCTAAAATTACTCCCACAGGAGTGTTCTGGCAAACGGGTCCCATTTATTGGGTCCACTTGCCGGCTTCTAACACCCGGGTACTGACTCCCTTTTATGAGCTAGTTATTAACTTAATTTGGAAGGCTAAATATTTGGGTGATGCATTGTTTGGAAAAACCTTTGACATACTAATTCAACCTTACACTCAAGATATGATACACAAGTTACAACAAGAACATGACCTTTGGTGTCTCTTCTTGTACAGCTTTAAGGGTCAAATTGATAATCACTTTCCTAAACATAGACTTTTGGAGGGCTTTAAAAGGTGTCCTATCATTTTCCCAAAGATTATAAAAAGGGAACCTATTCCAATGGCCCAAACTGTATATACAGATGGGGCCAAAAATGGATTTGCCGTCGTTTTTGATGGATCCCAAATCCACCGACAACCTGTGTCAGGTCAGTCAACCCAAAAGGCAGAAGTTGAAGCTTTAATTATAGCTCTCAAAGTTTATAGTTCCATTCCCCTTAATGTATATACTGACAGCTTATATGTAGCTAATCTGGCTCTAGTCATAGAAACAGCATCATATATTGGGAAGCAATCCACCATCACAGCACAACTACAAGTAGTTCAGCTTCTCATTTGGGCTAGACGAGATCCTCTATACATTGGCCACATCCGAAGCCATTCGGGGCTCCCTGGACCTTTGTCAGAGGGCAATGCAAAAGCAGACGCTGCTACTCATGCTGTCGGCCTTTCCTATGTAACAACTGAATATGATAAGGCCCTACAATTCCATAACAAATTTCATTTAAATGCACAGTCTTTACGCTTCCACACAGGATGTTCACGAGACCAAGCTTTACAGATTGTCTCATTATGTCCAACCTGTGCACCATTTATTCATCCTCCCTCCCTTGGGGTTAATCCAAGAGGACTACAACCTAATGATGTCTGGCAAACTAATGTTACACACTTCCCTAGTTTTGGTAAGCTCTCCTTCATACATGTCTCTACTGACACATATTCTGGCTTTATTTTTGCCACCTTACATACTGGAGAGAAGGCTAAGGACGTAATCAGTCATCTTCTAAAAGCCTTTTCCTCCATAGGCACCCCACGATGCCTCAAGACCGATAATGGTCCTGCTTATGCAAGCCAGGCAATCCAACGGTTTTGCACCCAATGGGAAATCAATCACAAGACTGGAATCCCTTATAATCCACAGGGACAGGATATCATGGAACGAGCCCATCAACATTTAAAAACTTATTTGCAAAAAACAAAAGAGGGAAAAATATACCAGAGTTGTCAGGGACCACAAGCACTTCTAAGTATAACTTTATTCACTTTAAATTTTTTGCTTGTGGATTCTAAAGGCCGCTCGGCAGCGCAGCGGCATTTTTCTTCTCCTGAGATGCAGCAGGCACAGGTAAAGTGGAAGGATCTGGCCACAGGGCAGTGGCAACCACCGGCTCCGCTCCTGGCAAGGGTAAGAGGGGCTATATGCGTTTTTCCTCCAGGAGCTGATAAGCCCATCTGGATCCCAGAGCGCTGTGTTAAACCCGTGCAACAAAGGGAAGAAATGGTTGACTTTCAAAATGATTCTCCCTGGATGGCTCCTGGTTTCGCTGTTCCTTCTGATAACAGCAAAGGGTGAGGAAGGGCAATGGTGGGCGGTGGCCCGAGCTTGGCCTATGCCACTGCCAGTTCATGCTAATTCTAGTTTTCTCCATACTCTTTTCTCCACTTCATGTGACTTGAATGCACCTTGCCTTGCACCCCGGGGAGATTCCATTACTCCTTTTAATGGGTCCCGTGTATCCCTTAAGGGAGTTTTTTGCTTTGCCATGAGCAAAAATAATTGCATCTCCCTCCGAGTTAAAAATGTGACTGTCTGGGAAGATCCCATGCAGTCAAGCAAGGTGTCAGATGGCATGCTTTTAGCTGCGCTCACACAAGTAAGCCAGGGGATGCAAAGTGGCTCGGGTGACACCTCTAATGGAACCCTAAATATTACTACCCTAATGACAACTTCGGAGATAATAGTACCCATAACACCAAAAAATAAGACCCCTAATGCTACCCGTTTCCGAGCCTCTCCCCTATGCACTCCTAATAAAGAATTCCCTCCAATCTTTACGTCCTGTCAGGGCTTGTCTTGGGACAAACTTCAGATTGCTGATGGATTCTCCCTTTCTCCCTCTTTAAAGAGGTTTGTTCTTAACTCCTCTAGTGGTAATTCTTCGGTTGGAGATGGCTGGCCTTGGTTTCAATGGCTGGTGGCAAATGAACGGGGAACCACAGCAGATATTTCTGCAGTGGCACAATTTCTGGGAACCCGGGACTGGCTTCATAATGTTTCTGGGTCCATCACTGAGACTCACAATGGCCGGCGCTTCACACCTCGTTCTTATAACTCCTTATTTACTAATTCCTCTCTGCCTCCTGCCCCAGTTTGCCTCCAGTCCCCTTTCCTGTTTCTGCTGGCTAATGACTCCACCAAAGATTTTTTAGACTGTTCTAATGTCACCTGTTACCTGGCCGAATGTTGGAA